GACCCATAGAAAGCACAATATACTTTCTTCTCCAATGTGCATGGAACATTCTCCAGAATAGATCACATTTTAGGAGACAAGGCAAGCATCAATAAATTAAAAACCATAGAAATAATACAAAGCATCTTTTCAGACCACAGTGCTACAAAATTAGAAATTAATAATAAGGATGAAGAAAAAAAATATACATTTGGAAGCTGAACAACACCTTGCTGAACATGAGGGGGTACTAGAAGAAATAATAAAAACAAAATTAGAAAGTTTCATGAAACAAATGACAATGAAAACACCATTTACCAAAACTTCTGGGAAGCAGTCAAAGCCGTTTAGGGGTCAATTTATAGCAATAAGCAAACACATTAAAAGACAAGAAAAAATGACCACTGACTCTCTAACTTAACATATCCAACAAATTAAAAAAGAACAGCAAGAAAACCCTCAAAAAAACCTGAAATTCTAAAAATTAGGGTAGAACGAAATGAAATAGAAAACAGAAAAACAACTGAAACCATTAACAAAACAAGGAGTATGCAAGGATGGTTCCACATAAGAAAAATAATCAACATAATTCATCACATTAAAAAGCAAAGAACAAGAGCTGCAAGATCTTATCAATTGATGGAAAAGAGACCTTTGAGAAAATCCAACACCTATTCCTGATTAAAACACTCAACAAAACAGGATTATAGGGGAATTTCTTCAACATAGTAAAAAGTATATAGGCACACCCTAGAGCCAACATTGTTCCCAATGAAGAGAGGTTAAAGGCATTCACTTTGAGAACAGGAACTAGGCAAGGATGCCCACTATGACCTCACTTATTCAATATTGTATTAGAAGGCTTACCAGTAGCAATAAGACAAAAGAAGGAATTAAGAGGCATCCAAATTGGCAAAGAGGAGGTAAAATTATCTCTATATGCAGATGATATGATAGTGTATTTAGAAAACCCTAAAGACTCAGCAAGAAAACTACTGGACATAGTTTACCAATTCAGCAAAATGGCAGGACACCACATCAACAACAAAAAAAAAAATCTATTGAATTTCTCTATGGTGACAAAAAGAATACAAAAGAGGAACTAAGAAAAACAATACCCATCACAATAGCTAATCACAAGATTAAATACATGGGAGTAAATCTACCTAGAAACACAAAGGATCTATAAAAAAAAATTACAAAACGTTACTACAAGAAACAAAAAGAGGCCTGGAGAAAAGGAAGAACATACCTTGCTCATGGATAGGAAGATTCAATATTGTAAAAAATGACAATTCTACCAAAGGCAATCTACATGTTCAATGCAATTCCAGTACAAATACCCATTTCATTCTTCAATGAGATGGAAAAGGCAATCTCCAATTTCATTTGCTATGGAAAGAGATCCCAAATAACAAAGTACTGCTTAAAAAGAGAAACAAGGTAGGAGGTATCTCACTCCCTGATTTCAAATCCTACTATACTGACATGGTGGTCAAGATAGCATGGTACTGGTACAATGACAGACACACAGATCAATGGAATAGAATTTAGAACCCAGAAATCTACCGATGGTCAACTGATTTTTGACAAGGAGATAAAATCAGTTAAGTGGGGAAATGACAGCCTTTTAAACAAATTGTGCTGTCAAAACTGGAAAGCCATCTTCAGAAAACTCAAACAAGACCCATGCCTCACACCATACACAAAACTCAACTCAAAGTGGATCAAGGACATCTGACTAATACCAAGGACTATAAACCTCATTAGAAGAAAGCTTAGAAGAACCCTAGAAGCACTAATCCACAACATGAACAGTCTTCCAAGAATCCTGAAAAACCTATAACCAGGAGCGGATAAAATAAGATGAATGGGAACTTCTAAGAATCAAATCCCTATGCACATCCCAAAACTTCTCCAAGGGAAGCCGTGGACTGGGAAAAAGATTTGGTAGTGACATGTCTGACAAGGGACTTATATATCTAAAATTTATAGAATACTCAAATGCCACAACATGATATAAGTCAACAACCCACCTGCAAAATAGACATAAACAGACACTTCACAAAAGAAGACATTCAGATGGTGAACAAACACATGAAGAAATGTTCAAAATCCCTAGCTTTAATAGCGATGCTAATAAAAATAATTATGAGATATCATCTCACCCCAGCAAGAACAGCAAAATTCAACAGAGCAGCAAACATCAAATGTTGGCAAGGTTATGGAGAAACTAGAACTCTTATTCACTGTTGGTGGGAGTGTAAAATGGTGCAACCACTATGGAAGGCAGTATGGCACTTTCTCCAAAAGTTGCAAATAGAAACATCATTTGATCCAGCAATTCTACTACTGGGAATAAACCCTAAAGAAACTAGAACAGCCACTCAACCAGACATATGAACACCCATGTTTACTGCTGCTTTGTTCACAATAGCAAAGAGTTGGAAACAATCCAAATGCCAATCAATAAATGAATGGATAGAGAAGCTGTGGTAAACAATGGTATATTATGCAGCACTGAAAAACAAAGAACTCATGAACTGTTATACAAAACTGGTGACCATGGAGGACATTATGATGAGTGAAATATCTCAGTCACAAAAAGATAAATATTGCATAGTACCGCTGTTATAAAACAGGACTAAAATGGAGGTTGGGGGAAACTAAGAAAAAAGGCAATAAACACAGCATTGAAACAGACCAGGGAAAGAAATGTATAAAAGGAATATATAAGTAGGTATTATTGGCATAACAAGAGTCCAGAATATGAGCTGCATACTAAAGTGGTCTGGTTGGGGGTGTCAGTATAACATTGAAAGAACTTTTTTCCCCCAAGAAAAAAAGCAAACTTGCAGGGGAGAAGGAAGTAGGGAGGAAAATGTGCAACAATGAATGAAACCCAAGTTCTTTTTAAACTTGCATTAAAACCTCAATTTTAAAAAAAAAGAGTTACAGACTTGAACACTGTATGAGGCAGTTTTACTTTGTCCTGCAGGGTTGTGATGAGTCAGAATCAACCTAGTTAATATGCATTTGGTTTTTATAATCCTTCTTGAAATTCAGTTTTTTTTTTAAAAATCCCATTTTCAAAAATGTATGACTTAATATCTTGATCTTCCAAAAATGATTATATGGCCTGAATACTAAAATGCCAAGAAATGTTGAGATGTGCCTAAAAAGTAGGGAAAGAATATTTTAAAAGAAATTAGAATCTCTGGTCATCTGCAAAGCTTTATGGTTTTCTTAGGGTAAGACACACTTGTAGATTTGTTACACTGATTAGAAAAATCATAAAATTACTTATCTCTCAGGGCAACTGTAAGGTTCAACATATACTGGATTTTTAAGTACTCTGAACATGCGTAAAACTAGTCTGGTATACCATAAGTGCTCCATTAATGTTAGCTACTATTGTCATAAAAATTGTGCATGCTCATTTTAGAACAATTTAATAACATACACACAAAAATAAGTTAACTTTTCTAGAAGGTAAAATCTCAACTCCCCATTTAAAAATTTCACTCTGTCTGCATAATTTTGAGTTCTATGGGTCTGTAGTAGTTTTTGTGACCTTCCCAGTTATTTTGCTAACCATAATAAGAACCATCTCAAAAGTTAAGACACAAAACAACAATGAGATAACATCTTAATCCAGTAGCAGTAGCATAGTTTAACAGAACAGCAGTAAGCAATACATTTTGGAGAATTTGTGAAGATTGGAACCCTCATGCACTGATACAACCATTTTGGAAGGCAGTTTAATGTTTCCTCAAAAAGCTGAAGATAGAAATCCCATATGACACAGCTATTGCACTGCTAGAAATAAATATATCCCAAGGAAATTAAAACTGAGACATGAATGGAGATATGAATATACCCATGTTCATAGCAACATTTTTCACTATAGCAAGAATATGGAAACAACTCAATTGTTTATCATCAAATAAATAGTTGGAGAAATTGTGGCACATTTACACAACTGAATACTATGTAACACTAAAGAATAAGAATTTTGTAAAATACTACATAACATGGAAGAGTGTAAAGAACATTATGCTTGGTGAATGAACTCAGTTTCATTAGAACAAATACCCTATAAGACTGTTCGTGTAAAATAGGTGAATAATATGTAAGATATTTATGAACGTTCAAAAGTAAAGAGGGTGTAAAAAGTGGAAGAGAGGAAATCACAAGAATAGTAAAGTTTAGTAGGCAGGTTGGGAGGGGTGAAGGAAAAGAAAAGATTTAATGTGAACTTGAAAAGATGGTGTAATAATAGGCATAGATCAATGGTAATTAATTATATAAGATACAATGTATTGTCATGATTGTATGAAGCACAATGTAAAGATTCTATAAAACACAATGTATGTATGTGTGTGTGTTTATATGTTTTGTATATAAATAACACAATGTAAATTAATTATTGTATGAAAACCAATAAAAATATTAAAAACAACAAAAAAGTTAAGACAAATGGGTTAAAGAATGTAAAAATACCATGTCAAGAACTAAACTGAATGTACCAACATACTGATTGTTATTTTTCATTTTTCCATTTCGTGTTACAGGCCTTACTGATACACTAAAAAGAATGTCTGCACAGGGAAAAACCAAAGAAACATCTAATGAAAATATCTCAAAACAATAAATCTAGAAATAGATAAAATCACTGCTAAAAGGAGTACAGAATATGGGAGTAACTGTCATTGACTATGAGCTCAGAGAATGGTGACCTTAAGGATGAAAAGCCTACATTTAATTGATTACAAAGTCATATGTCTTCTTCTTTGCTTGACGACAAACTTTAATAAATCCAAGACATTTTGAGTTCTTATTGCCCAATAATGAGATTAAAACACAAAGTTGAAAGGGTATTTATAAACCCTATATGAAACATGCTTCCACGCTCATGGGCATATATGGATATGTGCACACCCAAATATGTGACCTGCTCCAAATTCATCCACAGCTAGAGGAGGCAATAAAACTCCATTGCTAGATCTGGACGAACAAACCTGTTGGAAAGGTGGAGTCTGGGCTTGCCTGAGAAGCCGCTGTTGTTGTTGCTGCTGCAGAAGCTTCATCTGTAGCAACTGTTGCTGTGACGTGATTGCATGGAGAGAGGGTGGCTGCATTACCGCCCCTGAGCGCCGCTGCAGCATGTTTGATAGGGCTTGTTTGGTGTTTGTGGGGACAAAGGAGCTGGAAGTGTCCAATCTGGAGCCAGCTGCAAAAGTAACCAGAAAGAAAGGCTTTTTAAATGTGCTAATGCAACATACCTTTTCAACATGTATGCAGAGCAGATTATCCGAGAGGCTGGGCTCTATAAGGAGAATTGTGGCATCAGGATTGGTGGAAGGTCTATTAACAATCTCCGTTATGCAGATGACACAACC